AATCAATGTGATGAAATCAATCAATCGAAAGAAATTTTTGCGTCTTTGTCTTTTCGTCTCACCTATGTGTAATATAAATATTTCTGCATTTATTCTTTTTACTTTGCGGCAAATGAGCATCATACACATGTGTATATCCGAACAAGTATGTCTAATTGCAGTCATTAGAGTGTTTTTTTTCTCGTTTGCGTGATCCCAAGTGGTACCATATATACACTAAAGCAAAGATAATACAAAGAAGAGAAGTGTGTCTGCATGATGAAACTATAATGAGTATGTTTGGTCTCGTAACGCGTTCGTTGACACTGTACTCATCCTTTATTCATGTCAATGTTGCTGCTTCACGAAATCATGATTTCCGGGTTCACTTATCAATTAATTGAGTTCTGTTTTATGGGCGTACAATGTATGTATAGATGAAAAAAAGGTCATATGTACAATAGCAGAAAAAAAGAAGAAGAGATTGAATGTTAAAATGATAGACACATCCGACATAAAGTTGATAGTTCGATGGCATTAAGAGAGACATGAGTGAAGAAGGCGAGTAGATTGTATCTGAATCGATCGAGAACAATGATGATTGTTGAAATTGTGCACATACACTTATATGTCAATCGTTCATATGATAGTAAAGAATCATTGATCATTTGAAGGTTAAAAACTACACAACAAAAAAATTGTATGTGCGTGCAAATAAATTGAGTTATATTCAACCATCAAGACATGCTAGACGGAAGTCGATTTGCATCACAGAACAGAAACATTACAGCTCTGAACATTCTGTCGTAACGGAAATCAACTAGATGCATCAATATTAAACACCTCGACATGAAGAATAGTCTAAGGAGTATTATTGACTCAAAAAAGAAAAAGAAGAAAAGATTCAAGTAGATTTTTTTTATCCGATGAAAGGCACGTTTTACTCATCATTGAAGTTGACGACTGATCTTGTTTTCTTTCCCTATGGAAATGATTCTACTGTATTCAAGAATTTGATAGTATCTTTGTATTGACTGATAAGATTATGTTGTTGAACGATGAATTTGTCATTAATGTCATACACTATAAACGACGAGAAGCTGTTTTGACAAGATGATGTATGGCTAGTCTTGTTTTTGATAATAAATGTCTAATCAAAATAACTTAAAAGAGTTTTAATAAGAATACAAGAAGACTGACTACATCAATTTATTTGACATTAGTATTGATAGTCTTATAGTGATGTCAAGAAAATAGTTTGTCAATAATTTCGGTTGATATAATATTAAAAATGTTTTTTTCCTAGTATATTTTATAAAAAAAAAGATAATTTCTATTTATTTTTAATTATTAACTTAAGACAGAAAAACAAATACATGTTAAATAAATTTCTATTTCCTTTTTATTTTTACTTGAAATATTTCAAATCAATGAATTAAATGCATATGATTCGATGCATAAAGAATGTTGATTAATAATAAATGAAGCAAATAGATCAAATAATTACACAGACGAGAAGACTCAAGTTAAATATCATGAATAATAAGAGAAAATAAATAGTTACTGAAAGTCTTTAAATAGGATGTAAAATTTATATGATTAAAATATTTAAAGTTATGTATAATTTAATGATGAGTTTAAAAAAATATAAGATAATAATATTTATCTTATTCATTTGACATTTTAGAGCTTCATAAGCAAAGATATCCTAAAAAAGTCTTATATGATGTCAAAAGGATTGAAATCTTCTACATTATTGATACTATGCTTTTTTTTCTCATAGCTTATGAAACGATAAACAATGAAAAATCAGATAAGATCTCAAGTAAATATGAATGAAAGGCATACTATAGAATCACGTAATGCTGAATAATTGTAATTTAACGATAGATGATAATGCACAACCATCTTTAGAATGAGAATGGTTGTCTGTGTTGAGTGATGCTTCGATAAGGCTTTTTTTTATTTCATTGAAATTGAAAAGTATCGTAAATCTTTTCGATTCATATCCTAAGATTTTGTGATATTTTTTCAAATAATTTAGTTCTTCAATTGAGTATCTTTTATTTTGTACGGTAGGAATCATTGATTGACATTTAAGAATAATATATTCTGCATTTTTTAAATAGTTTTGTTGCTTGGCATCATTATGATTATCAGAACATCTCTCTTATCCTTATAAAAAAAAAATTAGTCAAAAGTACATGTTAAAATCAAATTCATTAATTATTCAAAAAAATAGTCAATTACTACACTAATAATTCATTGATTATTGTTGCGTTATATACAATCCAGAGGAATTTAATAATGAAACAGTCTTCAAAAGAAAAAAGAAAACATTTTTATTATCCAACATTTATCCATTTCGATAAAATAGTATTCCATAAAACGTTTCACGAAGTCATTATTTCGACTAGACTGAAGATATTCTTGGAATTTGCAAACTAGTTTTGGTAAAATTTTTCTTTACCAAAAATAGATTATGCATGTCAATGCGTTTATGAAACATGATCTAAAAAGGTTATTGAAAAATAATGGTATAAGTTTGGACACCCTAGATGTGCCAGACACCTTAGTAACGCTTCTTTTCTGTCACAGACTGTAGCAGATACTTTTGTATTGCTCTTTCCTTCTCATGGTTCATGACAGATGCACCCAAGAGACCGAAGTCTATTGTGGAATTAATATGAAACACAAATGAACTAAAGATAGCTGTCGTTTGCACTTCTATCACGTTGACTGTAATATATAACGGTTGTCATCTTGCATCATCTACATCCATTAACAGTGAGTATGACTTCATAAACTGAAACCTATATTGGCGAATTTCTTTTGTGACAATGTCGCCAACTTTATCATGTTTCACATTTTAATTCTCTAGGGGTTGCGCTAATAGCTTTTTATTCTGTTCTGATTATAGGTCTGGAAATGAATATTTTTATTTAAGAGCTCGATAAAAATTTTCTACTGATCTTGGTTCTTTTTCCAAAAGTCGAAGTTCGTCGATGAAGTCTTTAGTTTTATTTTTGAATTTATTGATATTTGAAAGAAAACTGATACTTGCTCGAAATAAAAGAAATAAATAGAAAACAATTTAATCTTAATTTTCTTGAAATTATTCTGTGACTAGCTCTTAAAAATATCAGTCGTAGTCCTGTAGATTCTGAATTTCAATGTATTCTAATTAATTCCTGAAGTAGCACCAATTAAGGATCATTCATAGAGATGTTATATCTGGCATTATAATTTACTTGAGTCAGAAATGTGCGTATCAGCTAAATAAACTTCACTTAGAAAAATATTTATAATTTGAATAAAACCTTATAAAAAAGTGAAAATATTCCTGCCTTTCGGTTATGTTGCGCATGTGAAAGAGAATTTGATTTTACAAAAAAAAACTGATTTTCTTTAAAAATATTTTTTTTTGTATAAAAAAATCAATATCTAAAGATGTTAGCAGTATAGTGGTAAACCAGTATTGTTATATACCGTTATATCAATAGATGATTGTACTACTGATATTATTTCTATTTCTTATATCTTCAATGCATTTTGTGTAAACATTTCTTTTGTTCTGAATTTGTTGCAAGATCAAATTCCCTATGAATTCAACTTGTGACATGATGTACTGCCTATCCGCATACTCATTAATTCGACATCTTTTCTGCAACTAATACTAGCTGTAGCTCTGGACAGAAGGTCGATCTTACATAAATTTCTTACGCTCAATCGCTTGAGCTACCCCTTACACATTGACGAATAGCATACTATATACGAGATCAAGCGTGTGTTACAAAGTAGTCAACATACTATTGGATCTGTGACCCGAGACAAACAGCCATTAATTACGTGTTCAAGGTCATGCCATTGCCTTTATAAACAAGATAAACTAATGAGTGTAGACAACAGCTCAAAAAATTAAGTTACATTAAGGACAATAAATAAAAAACTTGTTTTTTTCCTCTATTTCTCCTATCAGTAAAACAAACAAACGATTCTTGTAGTGTATACATTTCAGTTTTTCTGACTATTCTATTTCATTCACTGTTAGGTAGAAACAGAAGTCGAGGGAGTTTGCTTTTTTTTGCAGTCATTTTAAGATTCGCTATATATCTTCTTCAGTTTAAGTAAATTCTAATCATTATTTTTACTTGATAAGGTGTGTTGTCTGTTTCATTTTCATTTTGATAATATCAAAATGAATAGCATAGTCAACAAAACTAAAAAAGCTAATTGATGTCTTATCAGAAAGCGTAATCCAAAATTTATCAGAAATGATTGTGCGTCACTCGCCATCAATTATAGTATTTAGACAATAAATTTAATTTTGAATTTTATTAGTGCTTGCAACCATACAACTTGCTCTTATATTATATATATAAAACGCACATGTGATGCAATGCACTCTTGTATTTTAAAATTGCCTACATCGACTCCTCGCTTGTGTAAATGAATACTTTACAAAAGAAGTACTCTGTCAAAATATTTCATTAATCATTCAATTTCGTTGTGTTCCAGAAGTAAAAGGAAGCATAATAGAAATATTTATTTTATTGAATCAAATAATTATTATTTATATATAGAATAATAGCCTAAACATATCTCTATAGTCAAGTAAACTTTAAAATACCATTAAATCATATTAGCAAAAAAAAACAAATTCTTTTCTGTTTATATATTCTCGATATGTTTTATTACAGAATTACAAAACACTATTCTAATATTTCGAAAAATTTTAAAAGAAAGCTTGATTAATTTTACAAATGAAACGGCACCTCTAGGATTCGAACCAAAACAAATGTCTCGTCTGGAGCAAGACTGAAAAAAAGACATTTTTTGCAGATCACTGCGTTGGTTATTATATATTTTCGGTCTACCTAAGAGAAACAGAAAATTTTATTTTGTCTTCTTTCACATACTTTTTTATTATTATTTCATAATTCTTATAAATTTCGAATTCCTTTTTTGGTCTCACATTTATTTATTTATTTGTTTCATTCGAGAAAAATTACAAAATATAATTAATTAGTAGCAAATGTAACTTCCTTAGTAAATCGATATTGATTGGTAATTCCTTTTGGACGTAAAATACTTTTTGGTCTACTATTAAAAGTTGATGTTAATCGTTCATTATTATCAGTCGTTAACATTTTTGAATAATGATTAATTAATGTTAGAACTTGTTTATTTGAATTAAGTTTATCATTATGCCATGGTGATATTGTATCATGACCAGCCCATGATTTTTCTCGTCGTAATCGTTTTTCTGACATAGAATGACTATCACCATCCATGACAGGTTTAAATGATGACGTTCGATCATGTAATCGTTGTACAAGTTGCATCCACATTTGATAAGATGGTTTGAGATTAACTTTTTCAGTATGAAAATGAGAAGATGATGTCAATGATTTTCGATCTATAGTACGTGGTGAAAGAATAGATGGTGTAAAGGTACTTTCTTCTAATGATTTCATATGATGATGATTACATAGAAGCATTTTACATTGATAAGGTGATTCAACTCCATGAAAAAACTTATAATTTGGAATACTAAAACAATAAATTAAAAATTTTTATTTTTATTTTTTTTTAAATAAAACTTACTTTTTATCTAGACTTTTATTTCTTTTTAATGTTGAATGTTGTCTTGGATAACAATACGTTCTTTCATTTAATTTTGGCCCAACATGTTGTGCCCATTGTTGACATGTAAAATGATACTCATCATCAATCACAAATGGTGATACATCGGTATGATCAAGTAAATAAATAGCATTATCAAATCGAAAGAATTTTATAGCTAATATTAATGGTGTATAATTTAATTCAGTTTTACAGTCAATTGAAAGTCCAATTGATTTCATTTCATGAATAATATCGGCAAGTATTGATGTGTATGATGATGATGCTGCATGATGTAAAATTGAATAACCTTCATGATCAATAATATTCCAGTCAATAGATTTGGTTTGTAGAAAAAGTATTACAAGTTTTGAACGATTAAGTAAACATGCATAAACAAGTGGTGTTCGTTGTTGAATATCAGTTACATTTATATCAGCCTTACCTTGAAGAAGAAGACGTGCTACTCGATAACCATAATTTTCTTGATCAGAAAGAACAGCTAAATGAAGTGGTGTTCGACCATAGAAATCTTTTTCGTTTGAATTTATTCAAATATTAGATAAATAACTATATTATGTGAAATACTAGAAAGGTAATTCAAATTATTCATTCAATGACAGGGTCGACTATTAACCCTATCATTGTGTTTATTCTTTTCAGAACTTTGATATAAAAAGGAAGTTAGCAATCGATTCAAGATTTTTTTCTAAAATAATTCACTTCATTGACTGAGCTAATTGAAGCATATCGACATCGCTGAGTGACTGCGTTGTTTGACATGTATTCACAAGGTACTGTATTCAAACATCTGTACCACCAGCCATACAATGACTCTGGAGATAAGTCTCGAACGATTGTTTGTCTCGAATCAACCGTTCTATAGCATCCCATACTGCAAAGTAGCCCAAAGGCGGTGACATTCTTTTTCTTCTTCAACTGAAGCATCTAGTGAGCCTTTTGCAACTCGTCGAGCTCTATCAAAGGTTATGCGTTTTATTTCAGTGAAAATACAATGTCAACAATAAGAATCCTTGAAAGACTAGGAACTAGGTTCTGAATCAATATTTTCTTTAATAAAGTCACTGACTGACGCAAACCACTTGAGACTGTGAAGTTGTTGGTGAACAGACGGTTCACGACTACACCTTTAAAAAATTTTCCCACTGTCTGAAATTGCAAGTTTAGTAAGAGTTATAAGCACACATATGATTCAAACATGGCTTCCAAATTGCATAGAATAGCTATACTTTCAAGATGGCAAACATATTGACGTAAATTGCTAACAAAAAGATTCAATCATGAAATCTTTACTTTATAAAAAAGATTCTATACGTCTCATATACAGCTACAAAGTTTTTTATAGAGCGGTAACTATGTTATTCAATGTAGTTGAGCAAAGGCCGTTGAACAGTAACGCTTTAAAGTTGTCTCAGATGAAACAATAATGTCAGGCAGAGTACACAAGTAGCAACAATCGGTAACACTTCAAAGACTCTAATCAGTAAAGTTTTATTTTCGTTAGAATGAAAAATATGTATATCACTCGATAAAGTTTGTCGACGTGCAATTGGCCCAGTGTATGGGACAAATAATTTTAGAGAAAAAACTTGAATTGGCTGCTAATTTTCTTCACATAAATTTGTATTATATTGTTTGAAGTTCAGCAATGAGGTTTTTTCATGGTTATCGTTGTTACGTAAACGCAGCTCGTTTTAGTATTAAAGATTTTGATATTGATTTTATTGTCCTTGTAAATATTATTCTTTATAGCGTATAATATAGTTATTCTTTGATAGCTCGTCAATGAATTTATGTTGACAAATTAAATGATCATGAAAATCATTTTATCAACTTGTGTCTACAATAACATTTGGATGCTCTCATTTCAATGTAATAAATGTCAAGTCTCGTCGATTGAAAATGAAACAGATATGTTCAGTTTATTGTTTACAGTACAAACGACTAGATTTAAGAGACAATAACCTGGAAAAATTAATAAGCATTTTTTGTATTACAGCTACTTAAATAATGATAGCGAAAGTAAAAATATTTTTCGAAATAAAATGTGAAAGTTACCTACTCAGACAAGATCTCTAAACGTTTTATCTGTTTGCACGGTAATATATACGAGTTTTCTCGAGTTCAAAGGCAGAAAGTCATATTAACACGGAAAGATCAACTAAGAAAACATATTTTTGAGTATATTTGTTTTGAAAGCGTTCCACTACGTTCAACAATAACTCGTTCTTTCTCATGTTTTTTTAAGTCAATCAACGCATTTCAATAGATTTGTCTCTTGAGAATCGTTAAAATACACGATGTTTCGTCCGATAACTAATGCTTATGTGAACACATCCAATGTGAAAATTATTATTTATAGATCGATCTAATTTTTTTACTACAATGATAAGTCATTTTTTACCAATCACAAGAAATAGGGTATTCTAAAAGTCGTGAGACTACTTTTCTTGTATATATACGATATTATGTTAGTTTCTTTAACTTGCTTATGTATTATTTTTCTCGAAGTTTAAACTTGATTCTGACCTATTTGTAATGTAGTATACATATCGTTATTAAAGGTGAAAGTCAATGCATTAATCAGTAGCGACGGCCAGTATATCTTAAAAATTTTGCAGCCATTGCCAGCGGCTCAGTCGTTCGGCTTACACTTCTAATCGTTATATTTTTTCATTTCAGGTTTATAATACTTGTGCATTTATAGATATTTTCAAGATGTTTTATTTTTCTTTTGTTTATGATTATTTCTATTTTATCAAGAAATTCATTATCAGTTGAGTATGAAACATGTTTTGTTATATCACAAATATGCTTATCACATGAAAGGTCTATTGATGATTTATATGACCATCGAATTCTCTTAGAATTATCGAAATTATTGTATTTTTCTTGTCGATATGAATAATGATTGGAAGTTGTGAAGATTATATAAGTAAAAACAAGTAAGAAAAAATAATACAGGATTGAATATAATAAAATTCGAAATTGTTAGAAGAAAAACAATGTCTAATTCCGATACAACGGGAAATCAAGTACATTCTTTTAAATAATCTCGCAACAATGAATAAACCCTGCAAATAGAATATAAATCAATTGAAATATATAAGGGTCTGTTTGTCTTCTCTATTTATGTTGAGACACTTTTATATTTGTCGTGATAATCGAAAAATCTTTGTTTCTTTTTACATTCGAGAATTTTGCTCAGATTAGACGAATATATAGATTATGTATTAAAGCTGAGAATATTTCATTTCATTGTGTCTCTTTTTCGATTATACAATTAATCTCGCGTATTGTGTATTAGTCGATATTTTCAACTAACTACATTAATTTCTGACTTATTTTTTTTTCAATGAATCAAAGAGAACTTGGCAGCATATTCAAGATAAGATTTTCTTATCAGATAAGCAAATGAAAACATGACTTTGATGCTGAAGACACTGTAATAAAAATATTCAGTTTTATGAGTTCTATTTATCTGTTTTCAGTCGACAATGTTCTTCAAAATGTCATGAGTCGTCATCACTTTAGAATAATTCAGTGAATAGAATATTCTATTTCTGTATATTTTTGATGTTGTCACATCGTCATTCTCAGAAAATGTTTCAAGTTCGTAAAATTTTATTTTAATGGCCCAATTATCTATATAGCTACATGTTCAAATGCACGTTTTCGTCTTTTTCTTCTCAGCTCTAGTTAGTTTATTTCCGTATTATTTATGTTGACTTTCTCATTTTTTTCATGCATACCTTGACACGTTTTTTTTTTGGCAACTTATTGCCAACTAAGCATTAATGTAGGTGGCAGATCGGCAGCTGAAAGAAGTGCATGTATGTGAATCAGCCTTTAGATCTTTAGTACTTTCATTGAAGTCGCAAATACATGTGAAAAAAATCGAAAGTCACCGATAATGTCAACCTTTGGTCTTTCTATTTAAAATAGAATTGTCATTTTTTAGTTATTCTGTTCACGTCAGCAGAGACGAAGAATAAGTGAATAACTATCATTAAATATCATTAATAAATTTCTATGTATAGATATATGATATTTCATAAGTTTCGGACCTACTTTAATAATTTTGTAGTTTTCGAACATACAAGGTTGAACAGACACAAAAGATATATTTGTTTAAAAGTAACATCTAAGTTATCATTCAAAATTTATTTTACTCAATTGACATCTCCCCTAAGGGGGTATCTTATCAGTAAAAACGTTAAAAAAAAATTATCAAATTTGTTTCTCATTGTAACAAAAAAATAATACAAAAAAAAATTTGATATTCGTACTAAAAATGCTAATATGGTAAAATAAATCGTAGATGATAGTTTAGATATTAGAAATATATAATTTTTGATGTCTGTCCAACTTTACATATTTGAATGACTTTTTTCTTAACGGTAACAGCTAGAACAAATCAGAGAAAATATTTGGCTAGCTGCAACAATTTCCTATCAGATGAAGTATTTGTCAAATTTCCATTCACAGATTTGTTTAAAAGGTCTCTGAAACACCAAGACCCTCAAAACCAATTTTTTGGACTCCATTAAAAATATTTTGCAAACAAGCTCATTTAACAAAGAGAACATTTCTGAATAAAATAAGATGTTTTCGAGCTCTACAATATCTATTCTCAGCGAACAACAATCATTGTACGAAAAGCTCCAAAGTGTAAAACACAGTACATTCATATAGTTTTTCATAAAAATAACAGAAAATAGCTGCTCAGGCTTGTCACATAATGATTGTTGTCTTTCGCTGAGGATAGGTCATGGAGAACTCAGAAACATCTTCTTTTGTCCAACAATGGTTTCTCTATTAGATGGACTTGTTTGGAAGATGTTTTTGATAGAATTGAGAAAATTGATTTTGAGGGTCTTGATGTTTCAGAGATCTTTTAACCAAATCTGATAATGGAAATCTGACAAGTACTTCTTCTGATAGGAAATTATTGCAGCTATTCAGATCTTTTCTCTGTTTTGTTCTAACTGTTATCGTTAAGGAAAAAATAAAAAATACAGCATTTCTAAACTTTTTGCCTTCAGTTTAGACTCCTATACATCATTATTAAACTAAGAAATCAATTTTTACAAAATGAAATTCTTATAAGAATTTATCTAAACTATACTTCCAGCTACGTAGATATCAAGGAGATGATTGTTCTTTCTAAGAATACACTCACTTCAGAATCTGGACGCGTAGAAATATGCACATGTTAAGATTTTATTTTCGTTAAAATTTCAATGTGTCTTGACTATTTTTTTTTTTCGTTTATTGTTTGTCTGATTAGAAAATAATTATATCTGTGTATTCTAGACGAGTCAAAATAACGGAAAACTTGCTTATGTAATATTGGAATAATTCTTTTACATTACAACCAACTCTATTGATAAGTAAATTTAATTGAGACAGACGTCCATCTAAAATTACTTGATGAATTGATGTCATCTATGGTTGTGTGCAAATATGCACACTGATGGCGATGGCGTACAGCTGATAAGTAAACTATTGACTATTTTCNGTATTTCCATCGTATTTTTATCTTCTGATGCCTCATAAAAACTAGAAAGTGCATTTCGACATTGATTCGATGACTCATCTGGATGTGTACATAGACTATTAATGCAGCAGTAAGTTTCTAGTGAAGATACTGATAAATTTATTCATTTCATTCGAACAACTTCATAATTCATCGAAAATCATAAGTGAAATGGTAGAAACACAAGAGTAGATTAACATCAGTACATCAATGACTCTTAGGTAGACGTCACGTGTACGATACACGTGTATGAAATAACGACACACCTAAAGTACATAAAATGCACTGCGTGGCGCCTTGTTGGCAATAATTCAGTATAAAGAGAGGAGTTCACATTGTAGTTTGTTTTATATTTGTCGTTTACTATTGTTACTTGCTTTCTACTCAAGATGAATCAATTAGACGGTCGAAAATTAAAAATCTCTGTTGTAACACCAAGCCATAATCGATTAGAATATTTAAAGGAAGCTGTTATGTCTGTTCAATTTAGTGTGCTTGCACCGCTTGATATCGAATTCGAACATGTTATTCATGATTGTGGTTCAACTGATGGCACAAAAGAATATTTTATTTCAAATTTACCACCTGAAAATATTTTTTATATCAAAGATCAAGGTGATAATAAAGAACCAACAAAAGATCGGCAATGGATTCGAGCAACAGAAGATTTACGTAAAGATGGTAAAGGTGAATTAGCTAATAATATTTTATTTATACGATCAGAACATAAAGTACCACCTAGTCAAGCACGAAATATTTGTATACAAAAAAGTACTGGACAATTTATTTGTGTATTAGTATGTAAAATAATTTTTTTTCTAATTTTTTGACAATAAAAATTTTATTTTTAGGATGATGATGATGTTTTTCTTCAACGTACAATTCATCATTTTGCACAGTCTATTTTAAGAAATCCAACAAAAAAATTTTTTGTTTCGGATTTTCTTCGTGTTAATGAACATCTTCAATATATGTCACACGAAGATTATTATGGTTGGGTTTTTTCATCACCACAAGAAATGCTTCAAGCTATTTTTAGTAGTTGTCACTTTATTCAAGGTAATATTATTCATTTCAAAAAGGATCGGTGGTTGTTTCTTGGAATAACTTTTCATGGAAACAACGAAAAGAGCAGCGGCTTTTATCATTCAAGAGAAAACACACATGAGATTATCAAAATGAGTCGGACTCTGATTAATCAGTAATCGACCAATCAGATAAGGTCTTACCAAAGAGTTTGAAGACGATATTCTGAAATTATTTCCTATTAGATTTTGGCGTGTAGTAATAACTAATCAGTAGAAAAAATTTCTTTCTTTCGATTTATGTAAAATCCCATTTTGTAATCGCTTCCGTTCAAGAGATACGAAGATTTTCCTGAGACTACACATTTCAGTAAATTGACCTTGAAAGGCTTCAAAAGAGTTCGAGACAGAAGTAGTTTTCAGTTTTAAACCGATCTGAGACTACTATTTTCAGTATTTCTGAGACTCCTAAAATTTTCTTTATACAACAGAAAAAACAAAGTTTTGAAAATATTCAGATAGTAGCCTAGAGTCACTTTGAAATTGAAAATAAACATCACTATTCGACTTAATTTCCTGGAATCGAAAGAATTCAGGGAAATCCTTGTCACTTTGAACAGAACCAGTAACGAATTTAAGGTTGACGTAGATCAAAAGAAAAGATTGTTTGCTATCGATTGGTCGAATTAAACGTCAAAATCTAATGAGAAATGATATCAGGGTCTCGTTTTTGAAAACCTTCGCGAAGAACTTACCTGATTAGTCAATTGCTGATACATCAGATTTTGACATACTTCGATGGACTCGGCTATTCTCTCTTGAACGATGAAAAGTGAAGCCTTCTTCATTATGGTTTCTATCACAAGTTATTCAAAAAATACAACGATCGGCATTATTTTTTTCAAAACAATAATAAAAAGAACAACGATTGTGCTTATATTAATTTATTGTTGAAATTTTTAGGTAATGTTTGTTTCAGTAGAAAACTTTATGATGAAGTTGGTGGTTATGATGAATCAGTTGGTATGGCAGAAGATCTTGATCTTTATGTAAGATTTTTAATTCATGGACATTTAAACGTTTATATACCAATGATATCACATTTACATCGTATGCATGCAGATAATTTTTCAATTGGATGTGATCGTGATCATCATTATTCAGATTTACGAGATATTTATAAACGTAATGAAGAGAAACTTAAAACAATGGGTATTAAATTAATATTATGTAATTAAATAAGAATAACAAATTAGTAAAATTTTAAAAAGAAAACAATTAAACTAACTTGTCAGTACGGCTACGTCTTTATTCGTTGCATCTGTGTGACTTCATGAATTTTTACAATATATTGTATATTATTGTTTATTCAAGCAATATTCATTGCATGTTTTGTTATTGTGTTCTTCTTTTCAAGTAACTTTAAAAATATAGTAGAATCAAATCAATTAGCATAATATAGTCATAAGAATTTATGTTTTACATATATTTTTATATTTGATACAAAAAATTTACCCTATCATCAAAATAAAATAATTTTTCTAAAGTCTATTGTTGAAAAAACAACCTAGAGAGAAAGAAGGGTACTATGCATTCAAAATAACATTGTGTAAAAACGACATTAATTTCACTCATTGTGAAATAAAATAATGATAGGCTTGGTAAGTACTTGATTATTCCAAAAATGATTTTTCACAACTGAACCAAGGCATGAAAGTTTTCCTGTTAAATATTGTTTACTTAGGATTAGTTACTTTCAATCAGGATGAAATGGTTGATAGTAAGGATTATAATGATAGGTTAGATTGATGATAGGAGTTTGAAACTGAAGATGAGAGTGAACAGAATAACAAAGTTTGATAATTGGTTACTTTGCTTTCGACAGTTCCGTTGTGATTTGTGGCAAACAGTTCATTATGCTTGTTAGACAAGATAGAATAAAGGTTAACCTGACCAACGACACAAGCACACGAAATACTCTAATACTATCTACATTTGAAGGACACCACAACGTAAAACAAAATGTAATATAGGGTATATGCATGCCGAAGAAAAGGTTTAGACTTTGTATTTTAATTGCTACAAAAGAAAAAATTTAGCAAGGGTAGATTTTAAAGGTCTGCTCGAGACGTATGTATTGATAAAACAACAGGTTCTATGAATGCTGAAGTTCACTGTGAGTTTTTCTTTGTCCAAACAGTCGTTTCTGAAAATAGATGAAAAAATATTCTGTTGTTACAAACTTAATGAAAAGTTAGATGCTTTTATTCAGATCTTATATTAAAAATAATGATCTGCTGATAGAGATACATTCTAATCTATCAACATTGTTAATACAGACGAGGAAACATCCCACTGTTAAAAGCCTGTTTAACTTCATATTTTGACTATGAGTAGGACTTGATGAAACTAAGATAATCCTAAAAGACTCCGCGCTCTTGTATGATCCAGTCAAAGTTATCACCGTTTCAGCAGTGTTCGGTCTTTCAGACCAGCTATTCATGAAAAACTGAATCAGACGGTTTTCATAAAAAACTTTATCTGTAGACAAGTCCCGCGGTCACTAAGCTATTCTAACTGTTTCAGCTCGAACGAATTTATTTTCTTGAGATGTCGAATGTCTCAAACAATTCAGTTCTACGGCTTGTCGTGTGAAACATAACAGAGCATTTGTGAAGAGAAACCAAGGCACCGCTCAACATTTGAATTTTTATATGCATCTTAATGACCATTATCTAAAACCACCAATCGCAAATTTTGAGCTGATTGAGACTATTATCGAGAAAAGAAAGATAAATCATCAATAGCATTTGAATTCTATCTGTGAAAGACTTTCTTCATGCAACATACCATAGGATAGAGTATCAACAGCTCAAAAATAATTAGCTACTTAAATGCTGAATATCATTTACTTACTGGGTCTACAGGAGTGAAAAAGGTCATAAGGTAGCAGTGTAAAATATGCGGTTTTTGGCTGCATTTTTTGAAACGGCAAGAAACGATGTTGTATTATTTTACATGGCACGCAAAGGTCGAACCTATGCCACAAAATTAATAATAAATTTCAATCATATCACTTTGATCAGCGATCTATGTCATATCACAATGCATGATAATTAGTTGATTTGTTCAGAATTGTCATGAATGAAGAACACTGCAAAATATCTGAGAATGTTTTCTTTGAGCTTATTTACTTGACTACTGACAGTGTATATGTCATACTGGTATGAAGGTGAACTTTCTTTTCGATATTTTTTTACCATTCTGTAGAGAATCAAAATTTTCAAAACACAAAAATTCAACATGGCTTCTCGAGATTTCAAAAATCGAACATTCTAGGCTGATAAGTTATGATCTTTTCTATTCACGTTAATCGGGCAAATAAAGGATATTCATTATTATAAGTAGCTCATTTTTTTGAGCTGATGATGCTCTATCTTTTGGTATATTGAATGAAAAAATTTTCCCACTTGTAGAAGTATAATCCTAGTAGATATTCATCTTTATTTTCTTGATAGTAGATTAGGTAATGCTGTAAAGTCGATCAAGGCTAACTTTATTATAAAATATCACAATGAGCAAAAAATTTGTATTTGATAGTTTCAGATAACGACTTGTCGAATAGACATTAAAAAAATCAAAATTTAGATTTTGACTAGCATCTCATATACTAAAGCGATTCTTCAGTATTTTCATGAAGGCTCTCTTAAGATAGACATTATGATAATCTAAGATAAAATTTATCAGACAAAAAATTCAATACTACGCTAATTACCTGAAAAATTAGCGTTAACATCAAGATTTTTATGAATTGCTTTATAGTAAATTTGCTACAAACTTTCATTACAACCTCGCCAATCATTAAATTGAAATATTGGATTATTATTTATTGATATAAGTATATATGAAATGGTATATCGTTTTTTATTTTAATCAGTTTTGTTTACTCGCCTTAATAAGAAATTCTTTTATATCTTGAGCCATAAATTGAAGTGTACCATTTGGAGTATGATCATTTCGATCGAATAATTGATTATGAAAAAAACTATACATTAGAAAGATATAATATACTACGTTACGACTATCACTTACTGTAATTCAAAATGATGTTAAATATCACTAATTTGTTGGACATCTTTGTTTGTCACTATTCTTTTCAAATTATTTCCATTCGTTTTTACCGACAAATATTTTGATGGCGATAAAATTTCTTCGTGCATAATAAGGTGCTTTGACGAAAACTTATTTCAAGTATGGAATATGCCATTCGATGAGGATTTTTTTGTTGATTCTAAATATGATGGTTGTTTCATTTCAAACAAAAGATTAACAAGACTTCACGCTTTTGAATGCGTTTGAATTTTTATTAATTTTTCTGATTTTTCTTAAATCTGTTTTTCATTAAAACAAATTGTTCGAATAAATGAAAAACAAAATGTTTTGAGACAATTCAACGATCTTTATTCAACTATTCCAAAAAACGTCATTAATAAAATGAAATGTTGTTTGAAGTTGGAAAGTACCACCACCTAGAAGACGAACGAAAACAACAGTGTCATTTTTATTGTTTGTCAACACTTTCGTTTCTCGTACGAATATGAATACCTTTTTTTTTTCATGTTTTTCATGAATGTTGTTTTCAAACTATGTGACAAAAGAAAAGAAATGCGTAAAGGCAGTCGATGAAAAAGTTATACAAAGTTCATTTTGTTTTTTTCTTAAATAACATTAATAATCTTAGTCATTGTGTACAAAGACAATAACATAAACCAGTTGTCACCCATATTAAATACGAAAATATTTCCATTCATTATAACCAGATGTGTTCTTAGTTTAATGAAAAAGAAAAGTGAATGATAAGTAACAATTTTAAGTATCTTATATTCAAGTATAAGTGTCAATTATTATTCATGATGCATTATAAATAAAGAATATTCGTATATTGAAATGCATTAGTTTCTCAAATTTTATCGTTAATCAAACATCAACATATCAATCAATCTACTGACATAATGAAGTACTTAATCGGTTTATTTTTCATCAGTTTACTTGTATTAGCAATTTGTGCTGATAATTTCGACAGAAATCCAATGTTACCTATATCAGGTGATTATAGCAATTCAGTATCAATTGAAAGTGTTGGAAGTGATGAACAAAGATTGAATGATGAAGAAAGCGCAGGAACCTACGAAATAGATGATGTTGATGATGTTGATGATGATGAAGAAGACATTGAGGATGACGAGGATGATTATGAAAATGACGATGATGGCCAGAGTGATTATGAAAATGACGACGATGTTGATGAATTTGATGACGATGGCGATAAAGGTGACAATGATAACGAGTCAATGAAACATTATATCTTTCAAATTCAATAACTTTTTAACCCATATTTGCCTCTCATCTTGAAATAACTATCAACACCTAGTTATGAACGACGACAAAGAATATATTATTTATTTTGAACATAATGACATACATATATATACAGAAAAATTCTTATTGTATATTTTGTTCAGTTAAATTTGTTTATCCCTTGTTTTTTTCCATTTCTGAATAGAACGAATTCATTTTCGAATGAACACTTTCCTTATTCAACGAGTCATTTAGTTGAATATATTATTAAAATATTTTATTTTTTAAAAAGAAAATAAAAAACATATTCTTTATATCGTCATTTTTTCGTTTTAACTTATGTTTATCGCAACTAATTTTTATAAGAGATGATTCAGTTCGTTTGTAGTTTATGTTTATTTTCACTCTAACTTGTCACTTAGGATTCCCATCCTTTCCAGTGCTGTGGTCAGTTAAATTATTCGACGATTGATCATTCTTTAAATAGAAAGTGAAAATGAAATTCATCTGATATTTTAAATTAGCTTACTATATTGTTTGTGTCTAATAACAAGGCGATGGCTTCTAATTCAATGTATAAAACAGAATTTCATACAAATAATGAATTAATCTACTCACTCTTATCATCATCAGCAAGATCAAACACTGTTCTATTGTGACGGTAACCACAATCTTCGGGTATGCTATCCATGATCAGTTGTTCTACATTGAACGAAATGTATTCATATAAAATATATTTTCTAATCGAACAGTCCCCTTGTTTGTCATATCTATCTATGCATGTAAGACTATAAACTGAAGTCTGTCGGATAGAGACGTACAGAATCAAGTTTTGTTTAGCTGCAGTTCTGACCTACCGGTCCAATAGCTTCTTTTTCAGTGGTATCTGTCGTAGCTCTGTTAAATCAAATCCGGTGACAGGCCCTATTGGACAAAAATTTCCAGAATTTATTGATATCATATATAAAAAATATTTTTAAATATTCGTCTGGTTTTTAGGATTATTCGCCTAAAAGACATAGAAAATTTAACTCTAATATTTAGTTTAAGTTTGGAAAATCATTTTTTCATAGCTTCAATCACGGGCCCCATCACTAGGATCAGAACTAAATTTCATTCCACACATCTTTACTTGTAACTAAAATTTGAAAAATTTAGGTACTCTAATAAGTTCTTCGAATAACTAAAAAATTCCTGTGTTCAACTATTCTAAAATGTTGTTTTACTTTCATTAATTTTCTCATCAGATTAATATTCATTAATAAGGTTCTTACCTTTATCGTGTAATGATGTTCTTTACGTGAGCAATGACTATTTACCCATTGAGCATTTTCATACTATTTATATATGAATGATGACGTAGATAAATATTCGAGTGACTCATTAAGAGAAACAAATATGGTAGTTGATATTTACGAGATACATTGAAAACGGAAGGCTTTGATTTTTTTGTCAGATTTTTTCATAAATAAAAAATAACGGTGAGTTGGATAAAACCAAGTATATTTTTTTCGTTCTCTACGTGTGTCAGCAGCTGTCGTTTTGGATACCTTCCAACATTGACTATGATTCAATAAGAAATCTAGGAATTCAATAAAAAGTCAAATCTTCTGCGAAATAGAACTAATTTCCAACATAAATACAAATCTTTTTGTCATTATTTCTTCATTTTAGGTCATTTCGACGTTCTTTAGTTGGAAAAAAAGAAACTGAACAACATCACACATGAAAGAAAAAAATAACAGTTTTGTTTTGTAAGATGGAAAAAATTCAAAATCATAGTAAGATTTTTGTTCGGTTGTTATATACACTGTTGGATAGAGAGTATGTCAAATACTCTAACGGTCTAGTTTTTCATTCTTCTTAAAATCTTCTTGATAGAACAACATTCAGAACAATCATATACCCTATTTGTGGGTGAAATAGTTCGGTTTTGAGATACATGCAAGATTTTTTATTTGTTATTAATTTTATTTCTTCAAACTGATTTTTTTCTTATTGATCGTGTGAAACTGGCTATAGAAAACTGTACTTGCAATTGTTCCAGTAACATATGTGTTGAGAAAATCAACATTTTCAGTTTCAATGACACAATCGTACAAAAATGCGCTGGTATTTATCAATTTTGGCGATCATAATTTTTTCCATGAGCGAAATGCATGTGATACTCGGATTTAGCATAAACAATTGAGCTGAATGACATACGTTCCAAATAAGACTATGTTTCATCCAACGCGCACCTGTACTCCATCTTACTTTTATTTTTCATTAATTTCGTGTATGGTTCATTCGAGATAGAATTCCATTGAAAATATTTTTCGTTGACATAATGCCATTCAACTCAATTTTTGATGCTAAATCTAAATGTGACAAGTTGATATAATAGCTTTTCTCAAGGTTCCACTTGGAATCAAATTGTTTTTGTCATGTGTTACTTGAGCAATAGCAAGTACATTTTTCTAAAGCCAATTTTACACCATCAATAAAAATAAATCAGTCAGTGAAACTACAAACAATAATAAGTAAAAAACTTGGCGTATTCATCAAAATATGGTAATTTCACCCACAAATAGAATATGCCGGTGGTCAGCATGGTTTTCCATTTCGATCATTTTTAGAAAAATGAAAAATTAGTTTTCCGAGCGCTTCACATACTCGCTATCCAATCAAGTACAAAAACATCTTACTATAATTTTGAATTCCCAGCAGCTTACAGACATACGAAATTCTGAAACATATACCTTAGTTGTTAAAATTATTCAACCGACAGATTAGTTTATTTTATTTTGTGCATGTCTCAAAAACTATATGAGCTAAAATGATCTGACTTTCGCCAATTACAGCTCCTTATCTCCAGAGTAATAATAAAAAGATTTTATATCAACAGATGTATGTTTTTAGTTTCCATGGATAATACAATCGAAGCATGCCGTTTTTCATCCTTCCAAATTCAGTTAAATCACTTGTTTCTATAAACTTATGCGCGTCTGTTTCAAGTCGAATATTTCTTTATGATACACGGTTTAATCGAAAAAAGATTGTGCTCTACGTAAACAGTACTTTTTATTTTAGCTTTCTCATAGATGTCATAATACCGTTACACTGGGTATCGAGAAGTAAATGTCAGGATACCCTACAGAGTAATCAACTAAAAGTGAATTCATTTACACGATGAAACTTCCGCATAGGGGTAATGACTTCCTTACTCCATAAATGAATTACATGTTTTTAAAATTGAGGAATTTGAGTGAATTTGGGGTAACGAGGTCGTTATCCCAAATTCACTCAAATTCCTCAACTTTATAACATATAGCTATAGTTTAAAGGTCATTGCTCTTAGGGTAATACCCCAAATTCACTCAGATTCCTCAACTTTAGAATATATAGCTATAGTTTAAATGTCAATATCCGGAGACTACATTAAAAGCAAATGAGGATACCGGGGGTAACGGGATTATGACACCACTCAGCTTTCTTGACCGATACCGGAAATTTTCAACAGAAAAGACGATAACAGACTCTTTTTTCATATAATGTTTGAGCAATTCTATTGTTCAATATAGAATCAGCAAGGCCGCTGCAAATTGCATCAGCTGTTCTATTTGAATAGACATTTCATGTTAGAAATTTGCGTCGAATGTATGCACCAATCATAGATAGGCCTTCTTTGTACGGTCTGCATCATGTATTGTATGAGAAATAGGGGTGGAACTGTCTGTGAAATCAAATCTATTTTTCTTGTACGCACGCTCCTGGAACAGTTTCTATAGCGTTCAATGAGAAAGACAAGAAGAGAACGAATCATGAATGCTAATGAAGATAAAATACAGTCGAATCTTCTTTAGCAAATGCTATCTATTCCTTTTGAGATGCGCCAGACAAAGTAGTAAGTAATTCAATCACTCTGCAAGTCAAATACTCGACATTCGTGCTCTGAATGAATTTACGTACAGATGATCTTCGAAAAAAGCCTATATTCTCTTTTTCAAAGTCAGCTAATATTTGACTTGACTAGACATGACAATAATGTTAACAAATACATACTGGTTTCATCTGTATTGGCAGATATATGCAATTCACTGTAAAACAGAAATTCTATTCTATCAATCATTCGCCTGAAACAAAACGCTGACTGACTATCAAATCACCATTGTTATTACTGTTCTCTTCTTTGTATCTTTCTTTTTTATAAAATAATTATATCGATCTAGGTTTCATAATTCGTGATTCTTCTTTTCGCGTGTTTTTTATTACACAATTGACAACAGGAACAAACACAACGCAGACAATTCAAGAAACAACATACAATGCGCACACAAAATTTTGACAGAAAAAATACAGATATGAACTAATTCTAGATCTAATCAACAAATACCACATGGCATTAACAACCTTTTAGGAATATATAGTCAATTGATATTTGTGAGCTAGTGTTCATTGATGCGCAACAAAAAATCAGAATCTCTTCATTACCACGACCACGTGAAAGTATCATCACTTTTTATATAGTGAAGGAGAGTTAGAACCATCTATGTACCATATCAAAGTTGATGTTGATTTTCGAATTATTGTTCGAGCTTGCCGATTTTCTTCTTTATTTTGCTCAGATATTTTCGAGTTGTTTAGGATCAACCATCAACTGTTCCTTGAAATCGATAAGACTTGTAGTTTCGTTTGTCACTTTTAATGAGCAGTTTCTTCCACTGACAGATGTATTTTTGTGTCAATTTTATAATGCCATGGCCACTTTTTGATTGTTTGTTCTAAAAGAAAATAATAAAATTTTTGCGATCGATTCCCCTATGATTACTTTGAAATATATCGTCAATCACGCGGTCATGTTTTGTTCGAATGACAACACAATTTATCCACATGGCTCACCATTTTTGCAATCTTGTACTATCAAAACTTACCCTTACTAATTTATTGTCATGGGTCGCACATTTACAAACCTTGCTTGTATAATGTGAAGGATTATGCAATCGGAAAACGTTGAGGATTTGTAATGAACAATACTTCATCA